TTAAAAAAAAAAAAAAAAAAAAAAAAAAAAAGATTTGGTTGTGTTTCTATTCGCTGCTTTTTGTTTCAAGGTTGGGCGGGAGTGCCTCGCTCAGCCCAAATTGTTGCGGCACAAACGTAAGGATAGCTACCTTCTCAAAACATGCTCCGGTCTATTCGTGGGGAGCAGCACGTGCTGGGAATCACGCCCAGCGTCCCATATGAAGATGTGTCAAAAAAAGTTGTGAGCAAATTGAGATACCGGGCCCATTACCCCTTCGTCTGAAAAAAAGTTGTGAACAAATTGAGGTACCGGGCCCATTACACCCCTTCTTGTGAGAAAAAGTTACCAAAAAAAAGATTGTGAACAAATCAAGATACCGGGCCCATTACCCCTTCGTACCGGACGTTGGGCCTGGTATCTCCATTTGTCCACAACTTCTTTTCACACCCATACGAAGACGTGTGAAAAGAAGTTGTCTTCGTACACGTAAGGTCCGGCATACTGTCTGAGAAGTAGGTATGCTCACGTCGCATAACCTTGCCAGGTAGGTGCTCGGTGTTCCTGTCCCCAACAGCCGGGCAACCAAATCTTCGGTGAGATCAGCGTCCGTGAGTTTGGCCAATAGTTCTTTGACTATACCCCATATATGCTCTGCGTTGTGGCACACGCTAGGAAGGCAGCGCTTTTCTGAATCCTTCAATTATTTATTTTCTGAAATTTTTCATTTTTTTTCATATTTTGTGTGCTGGGCTGCCCTGAACCGTGCGTGGACCGCCCCCCCCCCCACCCCACCCCACCCTTCCGCCAGGCCTGCCCACCGTCCTACCTACCTTCTTCCCCCGAACAACACGCATGTTTATACAATGCATACGGTGCGTTCTATCCGAATAGACAACGCACCGCGTTCTATCCGAATAGCCCAACATTTTGAATACAACGCATATGCATTTTATTCATTTTTTTTTTGTCAAATTTTGAAACTCGAATACAACGCATATGCGTTATGTTCGGGGGAAGAAGGTAGCCAGGTCGTCCAGCTGGTAGCACAGCTTTGTGCCCTCTGGGAGGATTCTTCAAAGTTCACACCATAGCTGATGCAAAATCGACTACGGAGTGTGCACCCTCTGGGAGATTCCTTCTCCATAGCTGCTTGCTGTGAGACACCATTACCACAGGTATTCGGTGACGCCGCAGCCATAATCATGTTCTCTCTCTGCAGGCAAGGCAGGCAGGTAGGGGAGGCAGGAATGAGCTCTACAAACAGCCAGCCAGCCAGACCGACAGAGGAAAACAGATGACCAACCAACTGGCAAACACGACCAACAGGATCAAGGGACCGACGACAAACCGACTCATGGAACGATGGACCAATGCACTGGGGACTGACAGACAGTCTGACCGACTCTGACGACCGGAGAATGAGACAGCAGACGGCAAGACCGGCTTGCCAGCAGGTAGTCGAGCAGGCAGAATGACAAACCAAAAGACCAACAGGACCAACAGGATCAACGGACC